GAGGCTAAGAAGAAGGACAGAGGATAAAGTAATGGAGTTGTAGAGAAGAGAAAGAGAGGCAGGGGAAAGGGAATGAAGAAGTGTGTGTGTGTGTGTGTGTGTGCTGTGTCCATGGTAGCGGCGGACACACACTGAGGAGGGAGATTGGAGAAGGACAGCAGAGAGCACACCCACTCCTTAGAGCGAGGGATTGAAGCAGAGAGAACGAGGGGGGTGATGAAGGAGAAGAGAGATAACACTGAAGATGAGACAAAAGTGAGACAGGTGTGTGTGTGTGTGTCTATCTAGCAGGATCAGTCAAACTATCACCCATGTTTTCCTTTTACACACATACACACACTCGCACAGCGATCAATCGCCACTTAGTGGAACACAACCCTCTCGCTGTGTTTTTGAAGTCTGATTACCAGCTGGGTGGAGATATAAAACTGCTCTATTTGTCCGTCTGTCTATTTATCTATCTTTCTCTCTATATCATATGCACATACACACACACGCACTTCGGGCTGAAGATGGATTTTGAGAGCTTTTTGAACTCAGCATGACGTCTACTGGAAATAAATGAATGAGCTGTTGAAGACATTAGGAGCTCGTTTTCGCTGCTCCATTAAGTCTTGCTCCATGCTAATTATCTAAGTGCCATTTGGTAGGAGTCTTTGTCCAGAGTTGGTTACAATACACTGGGAACTAAGTGCATCTCGCTGGCAGTGCCGCTGTAGGTGGTTTTACCATGAATTAATCTCGATCGAAAAGTGATTTATATTAAATTCCTAGAGGTAAAAATTCAGATGGCATGGGAATTTTGGACTATATCCAAAATGAATTTTGACCTCACTATATTTTGCACAACTTTGACTGCTTGAGTGATTGTACAGACAATAGCCGTTGCTAGCTTGCATCATGAACCAACTGTCCATTAGACGACATTATTTAGAAGCTAGTTAGCTAGCTCATCGGTATTGTCTATGTGACCGGTATTTGTCTATAAGAACAGTAGCTTTTGCGCTGTGCAGAAATACCTCGGCTTTGCAGTTTTTACAACAACTTTTGCAACAATTATGACCTACTGTATTGGCTGAATACAAGATCATAATATTTTTCAATGGAAATAACATTAGTAAAGTGTGAATTACAGTATATGATATTCGAGGACTAGACAATTGCGTTAACGTCTTTTTAAATGGTGATTGTAGTACATAGAGTGTTGCATTAGGGGTTGCTATTGGTAGGTTAGCAAGTTTCCTCAAGTCTGTTTAAAGTATATCTGTTAGAGTAAATCATACCTAAAAGTATTTAGTTAGCCCAGTTTCTGATGATCTAACGTGTTTTGCTGAAATGGAGGAAGTCAATACCTGATGAGTGAAAAGGAGCATCCACCAATGTCCTTATTGTAAGAACGGACTGTCAACTGCCAAGCAAAAAATTACCTTTGTGACAGAATGTCATGCTAAGGAGCTCAACGACTAAGAACCTCAGAACCTGACAGGAAAGATGATGAGTATGTGACAGAATGAAAAATTTGCTTCACAGTAAAACATGCATAGCTATACAAATGGGGGTTTAAGCTAAGGCCTGACGGGAAGAATTCCATGTTTGCTTAAGCTCGCACTAAAGTAAATTTTCCTATCAGGATTTTAAAAGGTGAGACTTATAACTATGATCATCTGATATTTGGGCTACTATAACTTTATCCAAGTATTTTGCTTCTATAATATAACATCACTTTTCACTTCGTAACTTTAGAAAGATCAGCAAAGTTCCCTAACTTAACTCAGTCAGCACTCAGCAGAATCCTCTTCCTTCTTCAAGAGTGACCACTTCCGAGATTACTCACCTACATAACATGTGTTGTGTTTAGGCGGATCAGGTGGAGTTAAGATAAAGTTTTAAAGATGATGGCAGAGGGCAGGCAGGTAGGAGGTGGCATGGTCCAGGTGGTGTTTGCTGAGGCGGCTGGTAGTGAGCGATGAAGTGAAGCATGGCAGAGGAATCCTGGAGTACAGGAAAAACATAAGTCAACAAAAACACTGAATAGTAATCACAAAAAGCATAAGAGATATACAATACCAAAAGAGCGACGGAACAAACTGGCAAGTAGCAGGAGAAGTACGTGAGGTGATTGAATTCAGGTGAGTCACTCAGCCAGGTGCCCAGGATGGAAAGCTGTGCCCACTACACACTCACACACACAAAAAGGACAAAACAAAGGAGGAGGAAAACAAGGGAGACACACAGTAAAATAATGGTAAAGAGCTGTGACAACTTCTTCTGAAAGGCTTGAACTACTGTGGCTTAGAATTTATTACATTTGTTCATGACTTTGGACAAAAGCGTCTGCCAAACGCATTTTCTTAAGAAGGAAAGTTAAAGTCAGACAAATTTTGTCATCAACATTTAAGTGACAGTATGGCATATTGCAACCATTGGGCAGCATTCACACAGAGAAAATACTGTAAGGAACTGACTTTTGTCAAATACATTAATGTACTGATGCAGATGGTTTAGATGTCCTAATAGATATTAAAATTAAGCATTTATGTATTTGGCACTTTTAAAACACACTGCTGCTGTACTGTGTGCACCATATGAAAGGCATATAGAATTGTGAAATCATTCATTTGAGCCGAGATGCTCTAAAGAGCCAAAGAAAATAATATTTAGCTTTGAGAATCATTGATCGTCCACCTGCTATAATCAGAATGATGGTAAGTGTGAGTAATCAGGTCCACACCTATGTGGTGGGGCGTCGCCTTTATCTAGCAGTGATTCAGTTATGACCAGACTAAATTGTTTTAGATAATTGAGCTTTGACAGATGTAAAATTTGTTGACAACAGCCCTGACATTCAACTGAGAGAACAAAATAGATTTTGAACTTATTACTGTTTGCAGAGTAGGCAAGGTTGAAATGTGACTAGATACTTTGCAGTTTGCAGTGTTAGCACAGATGAGCGAAACAGAGTGTTAAACAGATGCAGAGAGAAGTGCGGTTACAGATACAACACTGTGGCAGCACAGAGGTACTAACAACGGGGAATGTACACTTGAGCCAAGTTTAATCTGCAGCCTGGTAGTTAGAAATATAGGCAACAGCTTAGATGTTGTCATTTGAAAGTATATTACAGAGTGCTATGGAATTTTTTGACTGACTGAAATGTAAAAATGAAACTGGGGCAAATGATTATTTAATAATGACAGACTGATCTGTCAATTATTTTCTCTATTTTTGGTCTAGAAAATGTTGTAAAATAGTCAGTTAGAAAAAAAAACATTACAATGTCCTGATGCCCAAGGTTTCAACTAGGGCTGAACAATTAATTGCATTTGCGATATTATCGCGATATGATAAAATTTGATTTTCTAATCGCAAAGGCTGCCATTACACTGTGGTCACATGACACGCGAGAGTAATGCAGTCTGCAGAGGAAGCATTAACTTGGCATACTACGCTGCACCGTGACTTGTACAATGGCCTCAGGCTTGACAGAACCTGACACTGGCCACTTTGGTGGACAGGAAAAATGCACAACAGAAAGACACGTGTAGTACAGTTAGAATATTGTGTCGATCGGCACACGCGCCTGCATCACACATACAGCCATCAGTCAGCTCAGGGAATATCTATGAACCTCAAACTGAGGTTTTTTTGTTTGCTTGCAGGGACAGACGGAGAGACGGACTCTTCTGTTGATTTGCTTACTGTATAACACACTGTGGTGAACTCAAATTATTTTTCTCTGAAATTATTATAATTTGATACTACTTCTCCACCATCACCAATTTCATCATAACATAGGGAAGAAAGAACAGTGTATGTTTAATCTATCTAATATTGTGTTGGTCATACTACACTGATTTATTGCTTGTCCATTTTGAATAATACAGAAGAGCTTAAAAAATAATGGCATATTTAATCGCAATCGCAATATTGGTTAAAATAAAATTGCAATTAGATTATTTTCCAAAATCGTTCAGCCCTAGTATCAACCATCTAAAACCCAATGATAATCAAATTACATTGATATAGAAAACAGCAAATCCTCCCAAGGAGAAGCTCACACTACAAACCAGACAATGTCTTTTTCGTTGAAAAATACCAAATGAAAAGATTATCTGTTAGTCAAAATACTTGCCAATTCATGGCATTTCAATTGACTAATTTTTCCAGTGCTGCAAATAGTAAAACAACCGTAGCATCCAGCTCTGACAACAAACCTTTGTGTTACAAAGACATATTTTAGTATTTTATCTAGTAGTAGGTATGTATAGTAAACCATTCATTATTGTTTAAAGATTAGCCAATTCATAATCTGGTTAAAACAGAAGTGCCACTAGTGTCAATTCTCGCACAAATAGTAGCCTGGCTGTTCACATTATTCCCATATTTCAAAGAAATCCCTATGAGCCAAAACCTCAGATTTCCCATGGTTCTGAACACTCTGGTTACAACAGTTTTTTTCTACTCTAATCAGTCTTCAGTATAAGGTCATTTGCGCGCAACCCTTCCTCCAGGCAACTGCAACACTCAGTTTGTCTATACCACTCAGCACAGGACCACACGCAGGCTTTTGATGTCGAAGTTGTTCAATATGTCACCATGAAAGGGCTTTTTCAGTTGCTAAGGAAATTAAGCTTGTTTGGTTTTCCTAAAGAATTAAGTGCCAAACATATCGTCAGAGAGGAGCATCTACAGTTTGTTTCAGGCAGAGGCTCAAATGAAGGCCTGCACAAAGGCCCAGTATAAGATTTTTTGGAATATAAAAGAAATAGGTCACCTTTAAGAAGGCAATGCAACACCAACAAGAATAGTCTGTTAGGTCCCCTGTTCCTGGGTAGTGTGTGTGCGTGTGTGTGTGTGTGTGTGTGTGTTCCCTCCTTGCAGGAGTCAGGTGTGCAGGAGCCTGTCACCAGCTGCCAGCCATCAGCCTCGTTATGCCCTGCCTTATATACCTGGTCCTCACCTCCACTCAGCGCCAGATTGTAGACTCTTGTTCCCAGTCAGTCTCATTCAAGCCTAGTCATGCCTTTTGGTCTGTATAATGCCCTAGCAGTATTCCAGGCCCTTGTAGATGATGTGTTGACAGACATGCTGAACAGATTTGTGTTTGTATACCTGGACAACATCCTGATCTACTCAAGATCCCTGTCTGAGCACGAGCAGCATGTGCGCCTGGTCCTCCAACGCTTGTTGAAGAACAAACTGTTTGCTAAGGCTGAGAAGTGCGAATTTCATGTGACTAAAATCTCCTTTTTGGGTTTCATCATTGCGCAGGGGAGATGAGGATGGACTCCGCTAAGGTCTCCGCAGTAACTGATTGGCCCATCCCATCTACACGCAAACAGTTACAGCGCTTTTTGGGGTTCGCAAACTTCTACAGATTTATTCAAGGCTACAGTCACATTGCTGCCCCGCTCACAGCTCTAACCTTGCTCTCTATCCCCTCTTCCTGGACCAGGGAGGCCGAGGCTGCATTCCAGGAGCTAAAACAATGCTTCGCCTCGGCTCCCGTTTTGGTTCAACCCAACCCCGGACTCCAATTCATTGTTGAGGTGGACGCATCGGACATGGGGGTAGGTGCAGTACTTTCCCAGCGGGCAAAATGTCATGATAAGCTCCACCCCTGTGCTTTTCTCTCCCGCAGACTCTCCCCAGCGAGAGAAATTACGACATCGGCAATCGTGAACTGCTCGCTGTTGAGTTAGCACTGGAGGAATGGCGCCATTTGTTGGAGGGGTCTGAACATCCCTTTCTTGTGTGAACAGACCACAAGAACCTCTCATACATCCAATCTGCAAAGCGGCTGAACTTAAGGCAAGCCAGGTGGGCTCTATTTTTTTTGATCGGTTTAACTTCACCTTGTCTTATCACCCCGGCTCTCATAATTCCAAGCCAGATGCCCTCTCCAGAGTGTTCTCTGCGACGATTCCAATCCGGATCCCATCAGCATCCTCCCAGCCACTCGCTTTGTGGGGGCAGTGACCTGTGATATCGAGGCCATTGTCAGGCAGGACCAGGACCAACAGACCAACCCAGGTAACTGTCCCCCTAAAAGAATTATGTCCCAGTTTCTGTCCGCTCCCAGGTTCTCCAATGGGGGCACTCTACCAACCTCACCTGCCCTCATGGCGTTAGAAGGACTCTGGACTTCCTGCGCCAGAGGTTCTGGTGGCCCTCCATGGAGCCAGACACTCGCTCCTTTGTCTCAGCCTGTTCTGTGTGTGCCCGGAGTAAGACCCCTACCCAGCTCAGCTCTGGACTCCTCCGGAGCCCCTCCCTATCCCTGGCCGTCTGTGTTAGGTCCCCTGTTCCTGGGTTGTGTGTGTGTGTGTGTGTGTGTGTGTGTGTGTGTGTGTGTTCCCTCCTGTCACCAGCTGCCAGCCATCAGCCTCGTTATGCCCTGCCTTATATACCTGGTCCTCACCTCCACTCAGCCCCAGATTGTAGACTCTTGTTCCCAGTTAGTCTCGTTCAAGCTGTTCTTCACTAAGACTAGTTCCTGTACTTGTTCCCTACTGATCCTATTCTTCTGTGCCATAGATATCCCCGCCTGGTCCATCTCCTGCAACTAGTCCACTCCTGCTCGAGTGCCCCACGGACTTTCCTCCATTCCCGGATACCCATTGTAAGTCGCTTTGGATAAAAGCTGCAGCTAAATAAGTAAATGTCAATGTAATGCAAGTGATCATAGGCTTAGTAGCATAAGAATGGATGCAGAGGAAACGGCTAGCCAAGCTCTGTCCAAAGTAGGGGAAAAAACTTACTAGTTTACATGTTTTTTATATTGATTGTTTAAACCATAAACAGAAATGTAAAAATGACAAGTAGTTTTACTGGAGTTCCGGACGGATATAGAGAGAGCAACAGCTCCACCTCCTCGTGACCTTCTCATACACTACAGAAGAATGACAGCACAGAGAAACACGATTTTAAAAAAGTATGGAGGAGGAGAGATAGACGAAGGGAGGGGTGGAGAGGAGGCGTAGGAAGACATGGTCATATGTGTGTGTGTGTGCTTGAGCGTGGGTGTGAGTGTGTGTCTCCTATTCAGTCCTGCTGGCCTTGTGCTTCTCTTCTGTTAGCTGAAGGTTGCGCCTTGGGCTCCAATGAAAAGAACCCATCGGCAAGCAGTGAGCACCATGTTCCCGTGTGTGTGTGTGTGTGTGTCTTGTGTGTGCAGAATATATACACACACACACGCGCAGGCAGGTAGCCTTGGGCACCCAGGACCCACACACATTGAAGACACGCTCTCCCTTTGTTCCTTCCAAACAGCGCTATAGAAAAGTAATAAAGACAGGAGAGATCTGACAGCCAATTCAACCATCTCTCCTGCTTATTTTATTTTTTCTCCCTTTTGGCCGTCATTCTGTTTCTCTCTGCTCCGCACCTTGATCATCATGTCTCACCCTTGCCTCACCCGTTATGTCTCTGTTTTTCACAATGATTTTTTCTGTCTCTGCTGTGGCAGATCTTTGCGACATTTTCTTTTCTCTGCTCATCTGTTTTTCTTTACTCGCCTTTCTCTTGATGTGTCTTTCTGTCTGTCTCCTTGTCTTTTTCACGTACAACCATTTACTTCACATGGAAATGAGGGGACAACATCTTTTAGACTCTTGCTTCGACCTCACTCTTTGTTTTCTTTTCTTTCGTGTCTATCTCAGGTTTTCTTTTCTTCTACTACCCTCCTTGTTTAGCTTCCATTCTCTCTCTCCTCATTTTTCCCCCATTTATTTTCTCCTCTGTCCGTCACTGTCTCCTCTGTTCAGCTCATGCTGAGTTTGCCTCCAGCCCTCCGTGCCTCTCTCTCCCTCTCAGCCTGTTTTCTCTCCTCTCTCCTTCGATCTGTTTATTTGCTGCTTGTTTTTCTGGCCTCCACAGCTCTCTCCCTCCCTAGCCCCACCCTAGCACCACCACCTCTCCTCATCCTCCTAATATCTACCCCTTTCTACCTGGTTTCCTTCCTCTGTTCTGCTTTAACTCCTTGTTATCTCAATCATTCACCTTTCGTTTTATTTGTATCCCTCTCCCCAACCATACCTGGGCAGCAGTCTATTCCTCTCCCCCACTGTTTCCCCCAAACTTCACAACATGTTTGTATTTTTCAAACTCCTGCTGTCACCAAGTTTCTTTCTCTCTTTTTTTTGTTATTTATATTGTATTATTATTACTGTATCAAAAAGTAAAGAGCACAATGAGAAAGCACAGCTGCTGTATTCCTGGGACTTATCAGTTTGGTTTTATACAGAGATGGGGACTCAAGTTTGTGACTTGGACTCTAGTCACACTTAAGACTCGTCCTCAAAAGATTATGTTTTGGCCGGGGCTGACCAAGTTAACATGTTATCGCGTTAACGCGTTAATTAACGCAGACAATTCTCTTATCTCACGTTAACGCAGTTTTTATTGTTTGTATTAAAAGTAAAGTAGATATACTACAAACTATGAATATTAATATTTGAAATATTAATTCATAAATCCTCGTTAAGGGCACCACCGAAAATTCAGTTCCGGTCGCTTTCTCTGCCAGGGAATTGCTCCGGAAGAAAACTTGCAGTGGTAGGCTGTTAGCTGGGTTTAGATGTCCTTTGAGTTACTGCTGGGTCCGAACTTCGGTGAGAGCAGTATAAGTTCACTCTACTACAATAAAGCTTAAAAGAACTTGGTTGTTCTTGAATTCAAAGTTGCGCGACTGAATCTGCGCGTCTGATAGCTTTTAACAAACAAAAACCAAAAAAAAAAGCAAGTAAATTGCTGGAAACAAGGGAAAAGTCGCGGCGCTTCGCGTGTGTGGCTTGAAAAGAACAAAGATCTTCACAGCAAGCTGAGAGAGGCTGTCCCTTAATTGTAATGTCTATTTGCGTGTACTTCAATCAAATACCTTCCCCCAATCAAACCTTAAATGTCATAAACAGTTATGCCGTTCTTAGTTTCACGCATTTGATAAAAAGGAAAGGAAACAATTACTTAATCGTTGTAATGATTGGAATGGTTAACAGTTAAACGCATTTTCAGGATTTCAGAATGAAAGAAACTTAACTCAACAATCTCTGGATAATATTGGCTGTTACACGTTCTTACTTAGAGAATATAAGCAAGTTACACGAACATGGCACCAGATTATACACAATAAAATACAGAGTGATACATTAAACCACCGGAGATGTGTTACATGTAATACTACTTTTGTCCTCTGAGGGGAGCTCTGGTCCTATGACAGGAGACTGAGATAACTGATTATTTCTTTAAAACAATCATTTGCTCAGGAGCTGGGGAAATTAATGTTAATGTGCTTTAACAATAAAATATATAAGCATGGCATTAGTATAACATAAATTAAAGGAACATCAGTGAGTATTGAGGAAGATTAGAACACTGCAAATTAACATTTTTTATGGATTCTTCTTTTAAACACAGTCTTAAGAACATGGCAATAGATCTACTCAAATTGAAGTGGCCAGAACTACTAAGTAACTTAACAAAGATTATTTAATTAACACTAGAACCGCCAACGGGTCAAATTTACCCGCGGCTGTTTTTTGATTTTATGTATCTTTGTTTCAATATAATCAAGTCCCCCAGTCTCTGACTTTTCCTAAGTGTGTTATGTAGCACCCCCTATTGTTAAGATGTCAAATGTCAAGATAAAGCCAGATTTAAAAAATGGGCATTTATACCTATAAGCACCAGCGGGTAAAATTTACCCCTATTCATAGTTTTCAGTCACGTGACATTTGCGGTACCTGGAGGGCAAAACAACAGACCAACACAACGGCTCACGCCGCGACTCCCCCGTAGAGACGCCACAAAAGCAGTTACAAGTGTTGGGCACTTCCGATCCATGTTACAGCATCTGCTGCCGCCGCTTGACTGCGGTAATGTGGGGTATCCCTCACCACAGCTCAGGCTTGTCTCTTCCTTGATTTGTGCATCAGAAAGTACTACAACTACCATCCAGCATTTTGGCAATGCAAAAGTAAACAACTCATAGTAACAGTGTATCACTTGCTTCCTGGTTGGCAGGCAGATGAAAATGTCTTTTTTGCCCTCCAAGGGAGCGTTTTTCATGGAATGTGACGTCACGTGAAAACTATGAATAGAGAATACAGTCATTTTAGCGCTGTTCATTTTGCGCGTTTAGATAAACATTCTATGTTGGTATTGGCAACGCCTTTCCCCCTACGGGCATTACACTTGCGCAGTGAGTGAAGGAGAGTCTGATGGTGGGGGCTGAGCGACGTATCCTGGGTTGATTCTGCATCTGACGGGTCATGATCCACTTGAATGAAGTAAATATACATAAAAGCCGCTGCTCATAGGTTTTGTGTAGGCTACATGATCATCAAAACTAATGCTGCAGTAGCCTAGTTTTTCCCTGTGATAGATGTGTGTTCTGTGGTCCCTTCAAGAGAGCGTGCGGCTCCCTCGTGTGCTTTTTGACTGGCTATTACTTTTCCAGTGCTGTGTATTTTTTAGTAAAAGTGATCATTAGGCCTATACATTTTTCTGCTGGGTAAACATCTACTAAGAATTTTGGAATTGATAATAATCGTTTCTTTTGAATAAATAGCCTACTTTTATTTGGACTTTCAAACTTTTGTAACTATGTGTTACTCTCTGGATGCCTGATGGAGTCCAAAAAAACAAGCAGAACAGTAAGAACTAGCCAACATTATGAGGCTATTATTACCGCCAATAAAACACTACAACAATCAGTCGTTTATTTAAATTGTATGCTGCATTTAAATTCAAGCTGTGTTTAGAATATAACTAGGATATAACATCAACAGTGGCGAGTGGATGACATCAAAAGAGCCGCCGCGTGTGAATGTGCCCTTCACAGATGCACAGTGCAAGCGATTGACCTGCACGGTGAAGACAATGAATAAAATAGAACAAACATTCTGTAAATGCCTGAAATATGGGGATGGTGTTTATAGAAAATGCACAGCCAATGTGTTAAATTTGTGTGTTGGAGCAACATGTAGCAGAAATAATCATAAAATCACTGCATTTTTATAACTGGTAAATTTTACCCGCTATGGCAGTTATAGATATACAACGAACCCTGGCGGTTCAGGCAAGTTATAAGGAGACAATATTCATTTGTCCACCCAAAGGAATTCGGGGCAGTGTCCTTCTCTGGCGTCTGGAGTTTCTCAGCAGTTTTACAACTGGGTGTGAAGAGGGAGAGGGCATGTTAAGAGTCCAAAATAATGGCTCTTTGGTGGGGTAGAGAGTTAAGACTGAGGAAGGGGATCTTTGATGTGTAGAATAATTAGCAAAGGGGGGCATGGTTGCCATGGCTACCCTGTGTGGGGGCAGTTAGCGTCTCTAGACCTTTATTCAAAAGGGTTCTTATAGGCTGGTTCCTGTCACGGTTTGGTGTGGGTGAGGCAGGGTTGAGCTGGTTGGAGGACCCAAATGCAGGATGCAAGGCAAAGGAGGTACAGTTCAAGGGGTTTTAATAAACAAACAAAGGCGAGCACACTTACAAACTGAGTGGCTGATGACAGTCCAAAACAAAGTAATCCAAATGGAAAACCAGAATCCAAAATAAGCAGGGAAACAGGGAGACACGACGAGTAGGCTGGCAACAAGGCAATACAGCAATACAGCAACACAAGGTAACACACTGTAACACTGGGTGACAATAAACAATGACCCGACAAGGACAAGGCAGAAACACCAGGTATATATACACAGGGACTAACGAGCAGGGCGGGAGCAACACAGGTGACAGACATGAGACTAACAAGGCAGGCAGAGAGAGAGACATGCAGGCAGAGTGACAACCGGGGGAACAGACGGAACACAGGTCACTGAACACAAAACAGACCAGAGTGAACACTTAACATGAACTAAGGTACAGGACTGGGAACAAGGACAAAGAACTAAAACGCAGGAACAAGAGTTAAGGCAGTGACTAAGAAACAATATAACAACTAGACTACCAAACCAAAGCAATATCAAATCAACACAGGACTACGAGCTACAACACCAGACAAGACATAAACACTAAGGACAAGGAAACGAGAAGAACAGGTAAACAGAAGGACACCAGAAACAAATGGCAAAAACTCAAACTCACAGGGAAAAACTACAACTCATGACAGTTCCGGCTGAAATTAGTCTCTGGGAAATGTCGGGTTGACACCTTTATGGACACTGAGGTCCTCACAGCCTGGTTCAGGTTGAGGTTAGTCTCTGTGTAATGTTAATATTGTCAGTTTAACAGTCATGTATAGAGTCTGTTATCTCAATTTCCCCAGAGGTGGTAGGTTTTTGTTATGGACCTTATGTTTTTCAGTGCTTGTG